TACAGGCAGGATAAGCCTAACAAAATGACATCTGATCATGTCTGCAGTTATATAATGAAGAAAGCACGAAGTGGTTCTTTTTTTGGAAGAGCTACCAATAGAACTAGTGTGTGAACAGTATACATTTTCAGAAGTAGGACATCCTAACAAAGCATTATAAGATGCCATCCATTCCCATTTCAAGTAAAACAACACTGACATGATAAAAAATATTTTTTTTTCCGCACCGTTCTGAACACACATGAATGAGGTTACTATGCTTCAGATTCCAGCATGTTCAGGACAGTAATATTCCTTAACCTGTCTTTCATCACCAGCCTGTTACATCTCACATGCAATAGGAATGTAAAGAAATCCTTAAGGATATATTAAATATGAACAATTAGAATCACATTGCTGATTCCATTATTTTTTTCCAGTAATCTCATAGATAAAATAAGCAGTCAAAATCTTTAACAAATACAGATTACTTTCATGATAAAAGGGGCCCATCGGTGAAGTGTCTTGACTGTGCCTGTTAATATTTTTTTTCCTTCTTTTGAGTCATTGCTAAGCAGGAGGAGGAGCAAAGCATATGATACAGCCTTTCTCAATGCCCAGTTGTCATCTTTTCTGTGCATCCGTCCCTAGGAAATAACAACAGCTGCCAATTCAAAATACAGACAACACATCACCAAAAGCAAACAGTAGCTCAGAGATGCTGTAGCTGTGCTGTACTGACCAGCCAGTTTAATTTGAAACTGGTCTGTGCTTGTTAAATGTCTCAACTGCTTAACTATGAGGCCAGTAGAAAAAGATAATGGAATCTCCTCTATTCTCATACATATATAAACACATGTAAGTATGGCTATAATAAGAAATCAAAATGTCTTGCATTTATAGTGCTTTCCAAAGATCCTTCAAAATGCTTTATCAAAGGACACCCTATCCAACACCCTCTTCACCTGACACTGACGTTTCGTTCAAATAGAGAACTGAGAAATGGCTTCACCATTGAATTAAGATGAGAGGTCAGGAAAGACAGATTGTACAAGCCCAGGGCAGAACTGAGGTAGTCCCCTAAAGACCCCAAATGTTTTAAAAGTGCCATAAAATCTTGAATGACCAAGCAGTCAGTATGTTGGTTTAGTGTCTCATCTAAAAGAGGGCATCTCCTACAACAGCAGACTTGTTCACCACACTGGGCCAGTGGTCAAGGTCTTCTGCTCCACAAGGAAGAGTGCCACCTACTGGCCCACCACCTCTATGTGCAGCACTGACCTGTTTTTCATTTGAGATCTGATTCCCAGTATTCACTGCTCCAACCTAGTTGTCTTGAGCTCTTAACAAGATGCCACTTTCATATAATGAAATATAACAAAAAATATTTAAAAAATATTTTGTGATATTAAAAATGTACTGCTCAAATACATCTCAATATATCCAGATATTCCTTTTTGCACCTATATGAGAAAACACATCTGCATTTATGTGTATTTTTATGTTTCATTGATATGCTTGCTGTTGGTATCAAAGTGTCTGGATAATAAGAAAAAGGTGTTAATTTGTAATGGAAGGTTATAAAACCTACAGTGGCTATGTTCAGCTATCACATGTTCTCCACTGAGTCTGCATTAGCAGTTCTTGACAAATTACTTCTCGAGTGCGAGGCTGGAAAATGACTAAAGCCAGTGTGAACTGACAAGTCTACAAGGAAATAATAAGAAGGTCTTTCTTTAAATTTCATCTCCCAAAACGTTAGCATAGATATTTTAACAATTCAAGAGTTGCAACCTCTAAAACACATTTTTGTTTTGTTTGTATTTCTTGTATTGTTAAATCAGATTCACCATACCTCTGCCTCCAGGTACGGCACCTTTAACATTATTGGGGGGCTGTATTTTGAGAATAGTTCCACTCCACACTCCATTACTCTATGTTTACTCCTGTCCTGTCTATGAAACAAGCTACATGATTGTTTCAATCTTCAGAACAATTCAGCATGTGTACAGTATAGAGGGTGGCATGATGGCACAGTGGTTAGCATTGACGCCTCGCAGCCCTGGGGCCCTGGGTTTAATTCCTGGGGTGCCATCTCTGTGGTGTTTATATGTCTTCCCCATGTGTGTGTGGGATTTCTCTGGGTCCTTCAATTTCCTCCCACAGTCCAAAAATGTACTCTAGGTTAATTGGCTGCTGGGAATGCGGGCCACGATGTGCGTGTCTGCGTCTATGTGCGCACTGTGGTCCCATCCAGTGTGTATCTTGCCTCGTGCCCGCTGCTAGTCAGGAAAGGCTCTTGCTACCCCTTGACCTTGAATCGAATGAAGCGGCTAGAAAATGGATGTATGGTATACAATTCTCACATTTGATCATAGGTTTCTGTGAAGAGTACAACACAAAACTAAGCTGGGGGATAGTGCAAACATTGGTACAGCTGTATCTGTTGTATATTGATTTAGAAAGACCAAACAAAAGTAATCTCCACCAACAGAAGCCAGGTACTGGTTTTTATAAACCTTTTTGTAAATATCTCTTTAGACAAGTACAACCAAATTCCAGGCATCAGGAAAATGGCATTCATACACTGTTTGGAAGCACTGTCGATGTACTCTATGCACAGATAAAATGGCAAATGTCTGAATTAATATGGTTCCAAGTTGTACGCTAACGAATGATTTATAAAAGAAAATTACAGGTCACAGAATTAATCAGCTCAGACATAAAAAGACCATGATCGCAGTTTCATACTGATGCTCCAGTGGAGTGTCAAACTCAGTTCCAGTACAACTGTTAAGTCCTCCTTAACTACTGTACCTAAAACAGATCATCTCTTGAAATGGGCAAGGCTCTTAAAGCCCTTTCAACACTAGCTCACCTTATTCCTTTCAAATGCATTACATTCAATGTCTGCAGAATGATTACACACATCATACAGATTAAGTTAATAAAAATCAGTTCTCATCAATTCGGATAGTTCTCCTTGAAGAACTTTCTGATGTAGATGGAAAACTATCTTTCAGCAATCAAATCATGTAAAATCTCTATTCATATCACCAGCTTAAACAGAGATGGTTTTAAACAGTAAACCGCGATCATTCGTATATCTTGAAATCAGGCCCACTTTCACCCTTGATTTAATACAGGATGTGATATATGTTTAACATCCAGAGGCTCTTCCTCAACACGAGGGAGTTCATTTTAAGGACAGCTGCTAAGGAGAGCTGGCCGGCTCATCCGTCCTCCCTCCTGAAACAGATCCCTCTTCTCCCCGCCACCCCTGTGACGGCTGAAAGCGCCACGGCTGCAGCGTTTCCAGCGCCATCCTCTGCCTTTTGGTCGTAATATCAGCTATACTCTGTTTTCCTGCTTTTCAGTTATCGTAGACTGTAATGAACAGCACCGGGGGTTTAATAAAAACTGGGTTAATTTCGGATATTATTGTATCATAGCTGATTTGTTTTGTTCCTTGTTCCAAACTCGACCTTTGTTTTCTTTCCAACTGTGCGTATTTTATAACTCATCAGATGTTTTTTAATACCGGTTGCTTTTGATAAAGGCATCAACTAAATAATTCGATTTTAATATCTCCTTAAGAGTTTTAGTTACCTTTACAATATTTAAATCACAAGAACCTGTTTTTAATAAAATGCTACAAAATATTCATTTCCAGGCAGCCAAATCCATAAAAAACAAGGAAAATTACATACGGTCTTAATTTTATAAGGTCTTAAGAGTGTCCGTTTTGCAGCGTTTTGATGGTTGAAAAAAGAAAATACATGTCGTACAAGTTTAAAAAACGGGGTGTTTCAATTGCTTAACATTCTCTCTTCATCCCTATTAAATTTTACTTTCGTGCGAGGAGACGGAATTGTGCACATCAGCAAGCTGTCCCGCTGCTCTTCTGCACCCTAGATGGCACACTCGTTTAATTTCCAGACTCCGGACACTATTGTTCTGTCTGGATGAATTAAAAATGTACCGAGGCGTAATAAAGTTCACATTGCTATATACTGCAATCAAAATGACTACACTTTACATTTAGGTCGGTATTCAACATCAGTGCAATGAACAACTTCTACATTACGATATTTAGTGCAATCTAGAGCATACGAAGCTACGCCGTCTCTGTATTTTTGTAGATGTGTAACTTCCAGTAAAACGCATACGAACTCTAAACCACGCATCTGTCCAAACCAGGGCAGTTTCTCCCTGCGAACAAAGGCGTCCTCCGGGTCCTAAAGCCGACAGCCGCCCTAAAATCAACTACAGCGAACAGCTCATCCGTGTATAACAGCGATCGCATGTGGTTCACAAACAGGCATGTCTCAAACGACCATTTGTTTACAAGACTGAAGTCATGCATAAACAGAAATTAAAAAGAAATTATGTTTGTGCATTTTAAAAATTTAATTTAAATTAATTAGCCTAACACGTTGGTATTGTTGTCAGTTCGTTCGAAAGGGGGAGCTGTTCGCATGTATTTATAAGATAAAAAACACCGAAACTCAGCAATAAACCTCACAGAAGTTTTGTCTCAATTTCTCCATTTTAATTGATAATTTAGTATTTTAACCGTAAAAAACATGCATAACACAATAACTTGCAAACTTTGAATTTAAAAAGTAACATTCGAAGATTAATCGTATCCAGACAAATAGGAAATGAAATATCAACACTATTCCCCATAAAAAGAAAAATCGATAATTTAGCAATACGATTGAGTAATAAGCGAATGGCATAAAGCATACAACAGAAAATGAATTCATTTTTTAGTCTTTTTCTAAAGTATTTTTATTTTGGAAAAAACGGTCAATTTTTTCTTCAAAATTTCTTAAAACCATCGTTGCAAGACATAAAATAGCAATAGCATCATCACACTTGAGAAGCGTACCATCCGAGTCCCAATGACACAATATTCAATGCGTGTCATTTAGTATATGCCGATATATATAGTGGCCCCCATGGATATAGACGCCGGGTCGCTACAATATACTGTATACAAAAATATATATTCATACCTGCTAGCATTCGATAGGTGGATATTAAAAATCCTGTAAGAGCTGATTTATAAATAAGTAAATTGTGCTTCCCCTCCTGAGAAAGTATTTTTTTTTCTTTTCTCCGAAAGGTCGTCTTATTCAAAGGTAGAAACACAGCTTCACTTTCAACATTGCCCGTGCAGCACCAACGAAACAGAAGTATCAGCCAAACTCCGTCTGCACCGAGTGCACTTGATGCTTTTGGTAAAGAAAAAAACTCAGAAAAAGCTTCAAGTTTCTTGCGACTAGGGGGGTTCGCATAGGGGAGGGACCAAGCAAATGGGAAAATAACGAAAAGAACTTTGTAAACACTGCAACGTGTGTAGAAAATATTTTAATTTAGAAATTAATGTCATATCGAGCACGACCTGAATATTTAAATGTACGTGTTCATTTTTAAAGAAGGCCGTCTTTATTCTGTGAGTGCACTTCAATTTAATGTGCTGCCCGACGGTCACGTGTCGCTGTAAACTCAGTAGCAGGACACTTGTTTCGGTTTGGGGGAAAAAAAAGTTTTATTGAAGGAGGAAGCTAGAAGATAATCTGTACGGAAAAAAAGAAAAAATAGTCCTTTTTGGCAACTTTTTAAATTGCCGTGCTCTAAACAAAGTCCACGGGAGAGCTGAAAGTGCGCTGCTACCACCGACGGCTTTTAAATCTCGGCAATATGGAACAAAAAGTATTCAGTCAAATATCCTGTAGACATTTACAGGTTACGCTGGACAAAAAGGGAAAAGAAGCAGCATTTATTTTCTGTAAGCCGTTGCTATGACATTACAGTCCCCCACTGTGGACTGTGGGCTAAACCAACATGAAGACTTCTCCGTCAGTAAGCTGTCTTTTGGCAACTTGCTGACATCGCCTCGCAACGTACAGTATTTGCTCGAGCTGCACCTGCAGATCCTAAGCCATCTCTCTGCCTTGCAGTCCGTGAACACATCACCAGCCCTGTGCCACACAGAACTACCCACTACAAATGGCCTCTTTTCTTCCTATGAGGCATTTGTAATCCTGTATATTAGCTTATTGGAACAAGTAATAGGTTTATTCCACGCAGAAAAGAGTAGAAAGAAAACACAACGCTTCTGCTGTGGAGCCTTCTTTGGGTGTGGAAGCTGACGCAGCTGCCCACCTGAACTATTAACTTATTGTACTTTTTGTACTGTATTATACAATGTATTTTTGCTTCTCCGTGTACTATAACGTAGGTTTCTGCTCTATGTTTAAAAATACAGTTTGATGTTAAGACCTCTCTATTACACTAAGAAATAGTTTTCCCAAATCGTTGACGTTCAGTAATGAACTTTTTCTTATGGCGTCGGGAAAATGCATGAATAATTGGAAAATTAGTTACATCTGAAGAATATTGATATTAATTTAATAAGGCTGTCAGTAATGTTCTTAAATCTCCGCACGAGTTTTCATCTGAAAATCCTAACTGGGGTTTTGAAGGCTTTGAATGACGTGATCCCAGTTTACATTGCTGATCTTTTGTACAATTGTGTTTCCAGCTGCAGTGTTTGACCGTTTGATGCAACTGTATTGTCAGTTTCCCAGACCAAGTTGCTGACCATGTGTGTTAGGTTTTTTGTGTTTAAGATTTTGTAGCACACTTCCAAACGCATTTAGGGAATCCGACTCATTGAATGTATTTAAACCTCACCTCAAAACTGATTTGAATTAGATTTTTATCTTTTTTTTTACCCTATCCTTTTTATTTATTGCTTCTATTTTTATGTGTAGTGTTTTGGGACATCTTTAAAAAAGGCACTTTATAAAATATACAGATTTTTTTCTAAATATTTTGGAATTGATGAAAGCTTGTTGTTTAAGGCTGGCTTTATTTTTATCACAGAAGGACTTTGTCCAGTTGCTGTAAAGGCCTGTTCAAGTTCCTGCATCAGCTATTCTTCAGTAGACTGTGATTTGCCAACTCAGTCTTCAATGGCAGAACAGATTAAATTAGATGAACACCTTGGAATATCCTGTGTCCATGCCGTTTGAGTAAATGTTACTGTGCATTCTGTCAAGATATGTGTTTTAGCCAGTGTGCAACAGTTTCACCCTACAGTAAACTCTCAGTTAATGGACTATTATTGAGGAAGGGCAGTCCGTTATTGACAAATGTCTGTTAAATCAGAATTAAGTTTTTCAGCCCCAAAACACTATTATATGAGAAATAATGTATATATACTATACTGCATATGGGCTTTGTGTGAACATGTAGATGCATAACCACATTGTGTGTTAATATACTGTAATACTGCACTGTACTGTTTATATAAATACACTGTATTGTATTACGTACAGTATACCCTTGCTTAACTTGTCTAAGACTAGTGTGAAGAGGTACCCGATACTGATGGCTGTCCATTAAATTGACAATAAAATATTTTTTAACTAAAAAAACACACTCTCTTATGAGAAGAAAAAAAAAGTCAGAAGTAAACCAAGCTTTTCTGGAATGGTAATACAGGAGACTGCTGGAAGCTCATTCATTGTATCCTTTAAGGACCTTGGGTCTCTGTGACTTGCCAGCAACTACAGGTGTTGATCTGTGAAAGCTGTCAGCATTTGCACACAGAGTAACCCTGAGGTCCTTTCCTTTGCTGATTTTCCACACTGGCATAGATGTCTTGGGCTTGTACAGTATGCTTTGGTATTTTCCAGGAGCGAACGCCAGAAGGGACCTGTCTCATCATTGTACAGTTGGGATAATATGACGCCTTTGTTGTGTATTAATTTATTCAATGTCTTACAGAACGGTTCTACCTCTTCAGTGGGCACACACGAAGCTACACGATTGGTTCTGTTATTCACTATACCATGACGTTGACAAAATCCGGAAAGCCATCCATCATTGTATTTGAATTTCAGTATCACGTGTCTGGATAGTGAATTGGCAGCAAATCGCAAATTCAATGTTATGCCCAATTGATAGCCAAAACCTCCCATTACCAGAATTTGTCTGTTAAATGAGTTTCAGAGCAGAAGACTTCCATGTTGTACAAATCTTCCCTTTATATTTCAAGGTAATCGAGGCACATTTTTATTTCTGTTATGACCCTTTCACAAAGATGAAAGTGCAAATTACAGTCGTTCACAGTACAGTTTGAAGTAAGAAACATGCCAACAATTAGTGGAAAGGCATACAGTGCATTCCTACAGTTTAATTTTCCCACCATCAACAGGTTCTGTCTGTAACTGTATGTTTCCTGAATCATCCTCCTGGTGTGCTTCTCTTCAAACATGGTGGCATTCATCTGAATGGAAAACATTAATCTTAGTCTCGACAAAACATACAACAAGGCTGTAAAAGCCTCATTTACATCTCCCTACAAATAGCAAATGGTGCTCTCTGTTTTGTCAACATTAGAGCCTTTACATTAAACAGCTGAGGTGGGGATGTTTTAGTCTATGCCTTACATCCAAATAGTTTACAGTATGTAATTGTTAAATAAACCATTGAGTAAGTTAGGAGTATCTCTTTTTAATGCTACATTATTTAAAAAATAGTAGTAGGAAAGACAAATGAGAAACTTTCACAGGTACAGTAACATTTAATAAAACTGTGTTTTTCATTTGTAAGATGTGTATTGTTATGATAATCTCAATACACTTCAACATGATGTGTATGATTACGTGATGATATCAACATTATGGATTTCAACATGATGACATGACTTTTTATGATGTTAAAATCATAAAAAAATAAAAACAATGTTAATCAAGAAGCTAAATTACAATGACACTGTTGCACTATATCTTAAAAACATTGCAGAAATATAGAGAGAACAGACTAAATTTTATATCCTGTCTGACCCAGGATAATTCAAAACATGATTAAACCTGTGAAAAATATGTATAGGAATAATTGAAAAAATTTAGCATATTTAGTTTTATAGTTTCTGGGTTGTACATAATAGCCCATGTAGGCATGGTAATAATCCTTTTACAAGTTCAAAATACAGTATATTATGCCTATTCTCAGTCCAAATCAGACATACAGTACAGTATGTAAAATAATAATTAAAAGTTCAGTACAAAATGTAATTTAAACTTATTTACAGTATTGAGACAACTGAATGGTAATTTCATGATAACTGCATACAAATACAGTTATAAACTGGGAAGCAGAAAGATTCATGTATCACCACAGGTGACTGGACATTGTGTGGAACTTTGTTAATCTTTACCAAGGCTACAGTACGTTTTCCAGTCTTTCAATCAAAACAGTCTGCTTAGGATTAGAGACCAAATATATGCTGGAGCTTTCCATCAGGTACTGGAAATAATGTGTCAAAGATCTTATATTCACAATTAATATACTGTACAGTATATATTATTTTAACACAATCTTACAACTTATTGAAGGTCATAAAGCTACGAATATTGAAAGTAATTATATAATTATTATTGTAGAAGCAAAGTAAAAAGTGGACATATCATTTTAGACATTACAATTTATATTTTTGTGAAAAGATTTCACTATTCTGGGTGTCACGAGGGCGCAGTGGTTTGTATTTTTTCCTCGCACGGCTGGATCGCTGGGTTCAATTCTGGACCAGGGGTGCTCTCTGCGTGGAATTTTGTATCTTCTCTTCATGTTTGCATGGGTTTCCTCCCACAGTCCAAAAACGTACTGGTAGGTTAACTGGTTTCTGTGAAAGTTAGCCCTAGGTGTGCAAGCGTGTGTGTTTGTGTCTCAGTCTCTGGCTCCCCAGCGGCCCAGAATTACAAGAGGGGTTTGGAAACGGATGCATGGATTGCATGATTACATTGAGAAGCAGGTTGTCAGAAAGTGCCATAGTGCCTCAAGGGTTATATACTGTACAGTGTAAATGGTGGCAGTAATAATGATGATCAGCATGATTCTATTCCAGTCATCATCATCAGCATCTTTTTTATACAGTGATTACGGCTGATAAAGTGTGTTACCCTTTAAATGGCAAAAGCAAAAATGTTATAATACACTATTTAGTAAAAAAAAAATTAAACAGAATAGATAGCTAAAAAGAGGGTTTTACAAATGGAATGAAAAGTGATGACTATTCATGACACCCATGAATATGAGTGAAACAGCAGGGGGTAGTCTCTCAGGGTTTGGAGCCTTGTTCTGAGAACTGAAAAGACACCCAGTGTCCACAGATTGCAAATGACATGTACTATAGGTGAATAGGTTTATG